ATTTCCTAGGTCTTTGTGATCAAAAAAGTTCATATAAACATGTGTCCGATTTTGGACGGTTACGGAGTTATGACCGTTTTAAACTCAGAATAGAAGGTAACGATTACTGACAATAGACGTAACAAAATAATAAAACAGCATAATACATGATACATTTAAAGTATGGCTGTAAAGTTAACTTCGTGAAATTATCTTTAATTTGAATTTATTGGTGCTTAAAGCTGATTTTCGAAAATTCCACCGCCGGCCGTAACACAGGCTGCCGCGCCGGACATACCAACCCACCCCGCCTTAGGTAGCTCTCAAGTGTCGAGATAACGAGAACGCTCTGTCTGTAACTGGCGGAAAATAGCGACCCGCCAGCTGACAGCCGCGGTTCACACGAAGGCATGTACGGGAATGAAAAAACGGTCATAACTCCGCAACCGTCCAAAATCGGACACATGTTTATATGAACTTTTTTGATCACAAAGACCTAGGAAATGACCTCCTGCAGTTATTCCCTAAAGTCGTGAAACACCCTGTATATAATAAGTATGTGTGTGTCCATCCTGGGACACATGTTACTTTCATTACTGACTTGTTTGAACGCAAGTAAATGCACAACATTCTGATTCTGTATTTGAAAATCTTACTGTATAGCAGCAACTCCTTTGTGAAGTTAACAAGACAGTTTTTGCCGTAAACATACTCGGAGAATATATGTAAAAATGTGTTTGCGTGTGTACTTTAAACATGATTTAACGATAAACAAGTTCCCTTAAACTAGCAGAAGTAGTACTATGCTTGATGTGTTAAATTTCATGTAATAACTAGCTTTTCGACGGCAAATTGTTGAATATGCAATATACTGAGAGAACCCATTCTCTATATGTGAAATATATTTTTTTGCCTACAAAACAAACCCAATGAAAAAATCCGTGATCTCAGCAAATCATCTGTGATGTCAAATATACAAATTTTGTGATTTATATATATTATACTAACATGCCAAATTTTTTGCAATTCCAGCCACTTAAGAAGGAAGTGTTGCTATTCGTAACTGGCGACTCTACCATCTATTGTTACTAACACATATTTAACGTACGGAACGTTAGAATATGAAGCGTTTTCTGCCATCCTGTTCGCAAAAACATACATAACAACACTGGAGCAAGCCTAAACATTTTATTCCTAAGGATTTTAAATGTATGTAATGGACGGAGAAAGATTTCATGAACTGTTGGTGTCTCGCGCTGGTCTTAATGCAGTTGGTAAACTCTGTCAAGAAGGATTTAATTTTTACTTAATTGTAAGATTTAATTGAGACTGAGCCCCATATTAGCATGGCGTATTGATAATTTGCTTTCTGTTTTGTTTAAAAGTTCGGTTTGATAACACGCACTTTTCGTTAAGAGCTACAGTAAACATAGAACCTCACTCACTCGCTTCTTCTCGGGAAGGTAATGCTATGTCACTTATGCTTACAAAGGCCGTTGCAAGAGTAGGCTATGTGAAGCAGGAGCGTATGAACCGCGACCTCTTTTAAAGTTGGTTGGTTGGTTTCCAGTGGCTGCATTTGGGAATGTTTAACCCATTTTGCTTCTTGCTTCCCAATAGAGAGGGAAGCTTTGCCAGGTTTGCTGCTCATTTTGCACTACCCAGGGGACACGTATGACTTAGAGAATGTCAGGGACGCGAGCAACTTTGTCCCCCACCTCTTTTAAAGTCCTGAACAATATTTATTTGGAGAAACTGAGAAACAACTCGATGATGTTTCTTGGATTGATCCCGGAAATCCCCGAATACGAACATGTGTAGATTGTAAAGCTTAGGTGATTACCGTTTGGAAACATTGAAAGGTGATGATGAAATGGCGCATGATTGAATCAGAAATGTTCGTTGCTTATTATCGAGTGCTATCTCAACATGTGTGACTAGAATGCTCATTATGCGATGCCATGAATGTTCTCTGTAATCAAGCATTAATGAGATCAGATTTTAATTTTATTTTAATAGTTTTATTGCCTTTGTTAATGGGAGTATGTACAAGTAACAAGTCAAATTAGTGCCATAAGTTGGATTTGAAATTCTCACAGCTGCTAGGCTAGGGGTTGGACGACCGAGCAGTCGGGGTTCGATTCCCGGTAGGGGCAAGAGATTATTCTGTTCATGAAGTCCAGACCGGCTCTGGGGCCCAACCGGACTACTATACACTGGGCACCGGAGACTGTGTCCCTGGGCGTAAAGCGGCAAGCGCGAGAAGCTGAGCATTCACCTCCATCTACTGTCAAGCATGGTGGAGCTATACCTCCACTCCCCATACGTCTTCCTGGCGTGGTGTTAAAGTAATTAAACCCAGGGTTAAAATCTACTCCTTACCATAGCGGTTGCTATGAATGTTCCTCTCTTCTGGGATATGACTCAGCGTAATCCGGCGAATGTCAACCAGCATTTCGGATGATCATACTGCCTCCATCTTCATGGTCGATTAATAAGCAAAGCAGGATATCAGCACGAAGCAGGCAGCCATACCTCCTTCAAACACACGTTTTGTTTGGTTTACTCCTGATGCTTGCCGCCTGCTTCATGTTCGACACTGAAGATGGAGTTGATATATTCCTCCGAAATGTCGCTTGACTTTCATTGGGCTCCACGGAGTTATACCCTAGAAGCTATGAATCATTTAGTGCCTTCTGCTCAAGATCTTAAGCAGGGCGCATGATGGCTGAGGAGGAAGGAAGTGTTGTCATATTCACAGCAGTGTTACATACCCTCAGTCGCTCCCGCCACCACAGCCTATATAACAGCTGTGCACGCGCTTGTCATTCTCAGTCGTTCATCGGATTGGTGATAGCTGTGTTTAGTATTTGATACAAATAATCGTTAGTGTGATGTATGTGTGTGCTTTGTGTTAGTCGATCCACTATTTGTGCTGGCTAGATCCGAAACATGAATTGTGGTGTGCCAGTGGCGGTGCTTTTGGCTGTCACTGTATCCTTAGTAGTATCAGGTAAAACGCTGTAAACTTAATTTCATGTACTGAGCAGAAAAGTTACTGAAGAGCCAGGAATGAAACAAGATAATTCAGTAAAAACTGAAACAAACAAATATTATTTTTTCTTAAGAGTGAGTTAAAATTTGCTTAGAAGTAGCAGTCAGCTGTGCAGATAATTAAGGTGACTCTCAATTTAGTGCTTTGGCAGATTGATATCGGAACAACAACTTTTTAACATCACACATTTGCTACAAGAAATGCGTATGTTAGTTGAAGTCATGATACATTACGAATCGGGTATGACTGTGAAGTCACCTTTCGTGTCACATTTTCATAGGGTCCGTACCCTCTGTTGGGTTTGGAGAAAACACGAAGGACACAAGATGGACCAGCCTCTTCACTTCCAGCTCTAAAATCTATAAAATCTTATCACTTTTGTGTAATTATATTATGTTTGAGATCTAACATAACTGCACCTTGAAATTTTAAAAGAATTGTGTTTTTAATTTTCCCCATTTAGTTATTATACACTCTATTGAAATTAATAAAACGTAGATTTTTGTTCAGTGGGAAATTATATATATATATATATTTGTATACCAGTATTATTCATTGACTTGGTCGTTACCCCTGTTTCCGTCACTAAAAGATTCGTCCAAGACCACAAACACTATTGGAAACAAGAATCAAACAATTAGCCCTTAAGATAACAGTGGTATTTATCAATTAGCATGTAAGATTTGTCACCAAAACATATCAGATAGAGAGACAGATATTTAAGACAATATTTTAAAGCATTTACAAGCAATTGCCGATCACAGTGGCCCCGCGGTCTAAGGCATGAACTGCCTTCGCCTGCTCAAACACTTGGATCGTGGGTTCGAATCCAACTTGAGGCATGGATGTGCGTTTTTTCTGTGTTTGTGCTGTCCCGTGTGCGCAGGTGCCTTGCGACTGACTGATTCCTCATACAGGGAGTCCTACCGACTATGTAAATGAGCAGGAAACTGAAAAGCGGCCAAGATCCAACAAAAGGGCTGTAGCACCATCGATAAATTTACAGGAAATTAGAACTAGCAAAATTAATTTCAAATACTCCTAGACAGTTTTTTATATGAGACATTCTTACGGCAGAGTTTAATATCTGAAGATACTGTATTGCATAAAATAAAGGAAAGGAATTCCAAGAAGGCCTTAAAATACATGATACAGACATATACAGGAGTGGTAGCCTACATTCGAATGAAAAATATATTCGCCCAATTTATGACGTCATGTACAGAATCGTTGAACACAGGTCACAGCACTGACACTAAGGTACATTACCCCTCATGCGGTACGTTCGGTACTAAAGCCATAATATCAGTCTGCAAAAACAGCCAACGCGGAAAGGACACCAGTATTGCAGAGCGTAAGTCAAACTGAACACGTGTAATAGACCCATAACAAATACACAACTACAATAATTTTAATAATGACATAAATAAGTTTCTGTGAATTTCAGTTATTATGACTTACAGATAAATTTAATATAATTTGCCTATATACCGTATTTACGCATGTATAGGCCGCACATTTTTTGCCACAAATTCAAGAGGAAAACTGGGGTGCGGCTTATATTCGAAATATTCGAAATCACACTTCATTTAAAAAAAAATATATATTCATAATTAGTAATATAGAGTGCAATACTCCTGAAATAATATTCCAAGAAAATTATTTTTTCTATAATTTCTGTCTGAAAATTGTGCTGCGGCCTATACACGCACGCGGCCTATACATGCGTAAATACGGTAGTACTCAGACAGCCTGTACATATTCGTAATATGCATAATTAACCACATGTAAGTTACACATTATGAATATGAATCAGTGCAACAGGACGCTAAAATACAACATAGTAAGTTAGGAGACTTGTGTTAGTAACCAATTAAAATAACATAAAATATCAAACTACTGATTTGTCCAGAAGTATGTTTTTGTTGGCCGATCACTGTAGCTGCGCGGTCTAAGGCACGAACTGTCATCACCCGTTCAAACAATTGGATAGTGGGTTCGAATCCCACTTGAGGCTTGGATATGTCTGTGTGCGTTCATTCTGTGTTTATGCTATCCTGTGTGCAGGTAGAGGCCTTGCGACGGGCTGATCTCTCGTCCAAGGAATTCTAACGACTGTGTAAAGGATCAAGAAACTGAAAAAGCGGCCAAGGCCCAATAAAGGGCTGTATAGCGGTAGATAGATAGTGTTCGTTTTAATTAATGTAATATTTCCCAGTCTAGCCGATAACAGTGGCCGCACGGTCTAAGGCATGAACCGTCTTCTCCCGATCGAACACTGGGATCGTGGATTCGAATCCCACTCAAGGCATGGATGTCTGTGTGCTTTTATTCAGTGCAAGGGGTCCTACTGATTGTGTATAGATTAGGAGACTGGAAAAACGCCGAGTTCCACGAGGGCTGTAGAGCCTTGGATAGATGTTTTTGTCCCTTAAGGCGCCTACACAGATTACCGCCACTTCATGTTCTGTAAATGAGAAGGAAACTACATATAGTACTTTAAGAATGGTTAAATAATCAGTGAGTTGATGAACTCGTGACATAAAATATTGGCGAATCTTGTTCGTCTGTTTCTGTGCGCGTTTGTAACCTACTGCGGCCGTCCGTCAGCCATACGCATGAAATCCAAGAACTGCATAACGGACTTTCAACAAATCTCACACTGGGACATACTACTAAAATTTATCGACACATTTCAATTTTGGTAAAACTCGGGCAAAAATAACGGGACACTTCTTACATGAAGACTTAAATTTCTAACATAATTTTTTACATACTTAATAGAGCGAAACGGGTTTCGAACAAAAGTTGTAGGGAAAAGCGAAACGCACTTTATGTCAGTGTATTTTTTCTTAAATATTACGGTTTTGTAGGTAATTAAACAATTGTTAGTCTGTGCTTACGTATTCTGAAGCGTATATTCAACAATCAACATTGGATTTCCGAACATAACTCTATAGTTATGGACGTTTCATATTCTCTGTAATAATTAAATGAATCTTCCCACCTTACTTTATAGGTCTGCATGTATTTAGACCGCAGTTAAATCAAATTTGCTTTATTCATTTAATAAATTTTATTATATTCCTACTCTGAAGTGTATACGTGTGACGCAGTTCACATTTATATAATGTTTCCTTCATTTGGCCAATAACAGTGAACAATGAAGTCCTCAGATTGAATGTTTATTCGTCCAGTACTAAGTGTAGTTCTCTGTTCTCTCAGATTCACATAAGTATCAACTAGAACATGTATCCAATATCTGTTTATTATAAGGATCGATTTTATTAAATTTTAAATAATGTATCTCCTAACAACGGAACACAACTCCCCTCGTTCAAATTAGCTACGAGTATTTTCCTGTAAGTCATGTAAAGATGGTGGATGTGAACATGTTATTTACACTTCCTTCTGTCGAACGAGACTTTCACAGCCTTAATTTAACAATTGTTACGTAATAAAAAATACACTATGCTACAAACCGGAAGGTCTTGGGTTCAAGTCCCGATGAGGTCATTCTTTTTTTTTCAGTTGACCTAATCCTTCCGGCCGCACTATTGCCCTGGGGTCGACTCAGCCTCTTACAGAAATGAGTACCAAGAATATTCTTGAAATATTCTTGGGGGTAAAGGGCTGCCGGCGCGTAAGGCTGACAATGTTTACAGCCATCTATGAGCCGACTGTCTAGAGAAAATGTTAGAGCCTCGACGTCTCATAACCCTATGGGCTTCCACGGCCTGTTACTGGGATACCTTTACTTTTATTATTACTTACGTAATAAAATTATTAGTAATTCTTATTTATTAAAATATATTGACCAAAATTGACTCCAAATCTTAAGATTTTGTCCCTTATACGTACGACCACGAATTATATAAATAATAATAATTTGTAGTTCAGTAATACAAAACTGAAGATTATGAAACTGCGAAAGGGATCGTTTGTAGCTTTACTTAAAATATAAAATATTTAATATAAATTTACGTTGACGCTTTTTAGTCGATACAGGCCCCAAAGGCGACGATCTGATGATGACCGAAGAACAGGTCAAAACGTCTTGTGATCGAAGAGAACTATTTTCCTGAATTTCTGCTAATGGTCCTTGAATGAAATTTTGAGATTTAACCATCAACAGAATACAGAATTAAAATAATCTACAAATAGTCTTCCGACTAATGAATAATTCGGTAGGAAACGTAATCCTAATAGTCGAACTCTTAAAGATGAACTGTAATATTCATATACATTTCTTTATGCTACGAAATGTTTCTCGAATACAGATATACTCTTAGAATATAAATGACAAAATTTTTGCACCTCCGGTCAGCCAATAGAACTACATAATGCTCAGTTGAATTTTAATCTATGTTCACTAATTATCGACATTGTATAGGCAACTATCCTAGTTCTGTCTTCTGTACACCAAATATCCCTAAACAACTGTACAGGGATCAGTATGCTCCCTTTACCTGTAAAGGTAAAGTTGTCCCTGTGCTTAACTAATTAAGCACTACGCCGTGGAGGCGTATGGGGAGTGGACGTATAGATTCGCATTTTCTTGACCTCGGCACCAGCTAGAGGTGAGTAGTCAGCTTCACTCCCCGGCCGTTTTACCCCAGTGGAAATAGCCCCCATTGGATAGGAGGTTGGGTGGACCCCAGAACCGGTCTGGACGACGTAGAGAAGTGAAAATTCTTACTCCCACCGGGACTTGAAGTCCGACCCCTCGGTCGTCCAGCCCGTAGCCAGTCGCTATACCGACTGCGCTATCCCGGTTCCTCTCTCTTTACCTGTACAATATAAATTATAAGTTCTATAGTTGCACAGTTGATTTAATCTTTTGTTGAAACCCTTTTTCATAAATACGAGGCGCACTTACTTCGAATATAACACAAAGCACGCCGGAAGCGGTGTTATTTTGGTCAAAGTACTTCGATAAATTTCGATACTGAAGGCCC